AAAAAAAAAAAAAAAAAAAAAAAAAAAAGAAAAGAAAAATGGAATTTTAATGTCTTCAGAGTTGTGCAACCATCGCTACAATCAATTATTTTACAACTTATCACCTCAGAAATAAACTATTTCCATTAGCAATTACTCCCCATTTCCTCTCAGTTCTCCTGTCCACCCAGGTACTAGTTTGTACATTTATCTATTCTGGACGTTTCACATAAATGGAATCATATAGTATGTAGCCTTATCCAGGGTCATTTTGTTGTAACATATATCAATACTTTATTGTCATATACTATTTAATTGTATGAACATAGCACATTTTATCCATTCATCTGTTGATGGGCATTTGGGCTGTTTCTACCCTTTGCCTACTATGCATAATACTGTGAACATTTTTTTTTTTTTTTAAGGCTGGAGAGGCATGTTTAGTCTTGATAAACTTACATAATAAACTCTTAGGACATTTGATTCCAAAGTGTATGTATGAATTGGCTTGACATAAATATAAACATAAGGGCAGTTTAAACATTGGCATTAATTTACATGAGTCAGTTCAAGGTCAGTGACTGGAGAACTGAATTAAGAGAAACCTGAGGTCAAAAAAACTCTTCGGGAAGCAGCCCTGTAACAATGTACCTTTGAAGATGGGGGCTGGGGGGCGGGGCTACAAATCCACTATGAATGAATACCATTAAGCAAAGGATGTACAGCATCCATCAACATCTGTTTCAAAAACAGCCTGTTTCTAAAATGATACATCTCTTTACAAAGTAAACATTACAGTGTTAGTAACTATAGAGACACCATTGGGATGAGCTCTAGATCCGCTGCTGACTTCCATGAAGCAGCTGACTTCCGTGGAGCACCCGTGGGCCGTGGCTTAAGTCATCCATCTTAATCCTGTGGCTTTAAGAACATCTTCTTTGCTTTAATCGGTTGTACGTCTCCATTTTCATCTTCTTCATAATTGGCATGGTCTCTCTTTCTGGCAAACTTTTTCCCAATTGTCCCCACCAAAGTCTCATATTTTCTAGCCTTCTCTTCATCTGACACATGGAGCTCCACTGTTTCATCTTCAACTTCTACTGCTTTGTGCTTAGCATTCATCTGAAGCATTAATTTTCTTTCTCTGCTCTGGCAAATCCAAGTACTGGTGCTCTTAACTAATAATTTGCTTTTCTTCTTCTAGTTGTTTCTTGGTTTTTGAGTCGATCTCCTTTGCATAAACTTCATCCGCAGCGATTCTTGGACAATTTTGTCTTGCGCTCGGCCACGATGGGGGCCCCTGCCCCTGCTGTGAACATTTGTACAAAAGTTTTTGTGTGGACACAGGTTTTCATTTCTCTTGGGAGTAGAATACCTAGGAATAGATTTGCTGGGTTGTGTGGTAACTATGTTCAACCTTTTGGGGTACTCTAAAATTTCTTCAATGTGGCTGCACCATCTTTACATTCCTACCAGCAGTGTGTAAAGGCTTCCAGTTTCTCCACATTCTTGCCAACACTTGTTATCATCAGACTTTTTGATTATAGTTTTCCTAGTGTTGATAAAATGGTGTCTCTTGTAGGTTTGATTTTCATTTCCCTGATGGTTAATAATGTTGAGCATTTTTTCTGTGCCTAGTGATCACTTATAATCTTTGGAGAAATGTCTATTTAGATCCTTTACCCATTTTTAAGTTGGATTCTTTGTCATATTATGATTGGATTGTGAGAGTACTTTTATATGCTCTAGATAGAAGTCCGTTACCAGATACATGGTTTGCAAAATGTCCATAGTCCTTTGCTATGTGTTGGGTTGTTGCTGTGAAGTAAGGGTTCATTGTGTTCTTAATAGAAAGATGGCATGGCTGGATTGAACTGTCCCTCTACTACCTGGTTTCATTTTTTTTTTTTTTTTTTTTGAGACGGAGTTTTGCTCTTGTTACCCAGGCTGGAGTGCAATGGCACAATCTCGGCTCACCGCAACCTCCACCTCCTGGGTTCAGGCAATTCTCCTGCCT